TAAAGCCCGGACGCCCGCGGGAAGGAAGCTTGTGAATTATGCCCTCGAGACCTTGCAAAAGGGGGGCACTGGCGACAGCCCCAAAGTTTGCCCCTAGTCGAGCAGCCGTGGCGCTGAGACAGCTCCGCGGGTTGTCTTCGACGATTCGATCTGACCAGGCGGCAAACGGACTAGCCTTTGGCTGGGCCGACGGTCAGTCATGGCTATAATTAGGAGAGCCGTGCTCCTTCCCAAGGCTCAGCCTCCGGGTTTGGACTTCTTTCTCCCCCACGCCTTCCCCCATATTTTAATATCAGACCCCCCACCCAACAGGCAGCTAGCTCCCGATGAGAGAGCACATGAGTGCGGAATCTTGTCGCAGGTGATGTTTCACCCTCAGGGTCACGTTTGTCCGGTGTGTGGTAGTGTGAGCAGTCCACATTCACTGTGGAATCTGACAAAGTGGAAGGCAGTAAGGGAGAAGCAACAAGTAGTTTTGGTAAGGGGCTGACTCACGTGTTCATGTTTTGGAGGACTGTGGGATTTAGGCGGTGGGCATAGCTGACACATGGGTGTATGTTTGGGACTCAGGAAATAGGGTACATTGGAAATGTGGATTGGGAGTCAGCACTTTGGTGATGCGTTACTGAAAAGTGAAGCTGTACTTTGCCTGTTTTGTAGAAATGAGTCTTTTCAATCCAGCTTGGGAGCAGATTGACTGTACAATGTTAGGTAAACAATAACCACCTTTAGACATACTTGTTTTTCTCATTTATAAGGGAGACTAAAGAACACTTTCCCCTAACTCTTAATTTCCTTATGCCCTAATTTCTTTAAGTGAGCAATATAATTTAAATTTAGTAGGGTTAAACAAGTGTTCTTGCCTTACCTGATGTATGTTCTGTCTTCCTAGATTTCCAGAAGACAGAACAGACATTAAGTTGGGTGATATTTTTCTCATTATAAGACCTTTTTGCTTATTTATCCTTTCACCCGTACAATTCTCTGGTAGATTATGAATGCCACATTAACCAAGACTTTAATTACTTCAAGTGTTTTCATCCTGATTGGTGGATAATATCTCTGTGCTTATTTGACTTCTTTGAGCAGCACTGAGTGTTATTGCAGTGTTTGTTGAAGTTGGTGTTATTGACACTTTAGACTGGATAACTCTTTGAAGTGAGGAGAGTTGTTATTTTTCATGTTGTAGGGAGTATAGAACTGTGCCTGATGTCTGCCCACTAGAGGCTGCCTGCATCCAATCCATTCAGGACAACAACAATTGTCTTCAGACAGCAAATGTACCCTAGAGATAAAATTACATATGTTTAGGAACCATTATTTAATCACTAACTGCTGGCTTATAGTTAGTGATTCTCAAACTTTCCGTGATAAAGGGCTACTCCAACCCTTCCATGCAGAATGTGTGTGTGTGTGGGGGGGGGGGGATGTGTCCCAGACATCTGCCCTTCTCTGCCTCCTCAGTGCAGGTATTATAATCTTGCTGCCAGTCCTGACTTTAAAAACAAACAACATAGCAAAACTGACAGGTTCTCGGGAGAGCCTGAGAAGCATGGTGGCATACCAGGTTTTCCTGGGATTGGGGGCTGGTTGAGTGACCCTTTATTACTGAGAGTTGGAGAAGCATTAACTGTGTGGCAGCAGACTATATATAGCACAGTGATCATTAAACAGATGTAAGGTGGGAGAAGGTTGTTTTATTTCCTAGGGTGCATTTACTGTCTAAAGAAATGTTATGAAACTATCAGTTGAAATGTGGCCCTTCTATTGCCATTTCACTAGGGTTTGGTGAGCTCTTTCACTTCAGAAACTAAGTCTAGATCTGGAGAAATTTTTCTTCTAAGTTTTGGCCTCCCTGTCTCTTGGTTTTGGACTTCCTGCTCGGGTGTATTTGTTGTAATTTAATATTTTTGTGTTTGATCTTTAAATGGTGTTAACTCCCATCTCAACAAGAATTCCCTGTCCTTTAATGTAGCTATCAAAATTTTCAGCTAGAAAATTGATTTGTTTTAGCTTCAGAAGGTCTACAGACTTGAAAAGCTTTAAACTCTGGTTAAACTTTTCACTTTGACCTTCTGCAAACTCCCTCTGATGAGCTTGTATCATCTAATCTCTCTGGTACCTGCAGGGCTCACATGGCGTGGTGGTTGCTGTTTTTCTTTGCTGTTTCTTTTGGAAGTTGATTTGGTGGTTGCAGTGTTAAGTAGCCAGGATCCTGCCAATGTTAGCAGACAGAGCTCTTTTCCTTCCTGTGGACCTGTGAAGTAGACATTTCCAGCCTCTCAGTCCTGGCTAAGACAACTGTCCTTACTCCCTTTGGCCCTTAGAGGTCATGGAAACTGGCACATTTTGACCAAATTGTCTTTTCCTGCTGGAGACAAATAGTGTTCTTGAACAGCCTCATCTCACTGTTTCCTCGGGTCCAAGATTAAGTTCCCGGGAGGAAAAAGCACCACCCTAGATTTTGTGCTTTTTCTCTGCTTTAACCCTAGTAGAACTCTCAGCTATTCCTGTGTCCCCAGAGCCTTTTGGGAAGAAGCAAAGGCCTTGTAAGGGAAGGAAGGGTCATTGCGTATGTCTGTGCCGGGCCAGACATAGCCCGAGTTCCGGTGTAATATGGTTCTCTAACTTAATTCATAGAATTGGGTCTCCACATGTGATGTATTTGAAGTGTTTGGTGAAACGTACATAACCTCCTGATGCTTGTCTAGTACCAGAGATTCACCATGATTCTTCAGAGGATCTTCAGGCTCTCCTCTGTCCTTCGGTCGGCAGTCTCTGTGCATTTGAGGAGGAACATTGGGGTTACAGCAGTGGCATTTAATAAGGAACTTGATCCCATTCAGAAACTCTTCGTGGACAAGATAAGAGAGTACAAATCAAAGCGACAGTAAGTGGGTAGCTGACGAAGCCATGCTGTGATTATAAATATTCAGAATATGTACATTACAAGATTTAAATTAAGTCCTCACTGTGTCTTCCTTATAAAGACTCCAAGGACAATTCCAGTAAGTCTGTTGTCATTTGAAGTATAGCACAATAATGTCACTACAATGAAATAAGTCACAAAAGTATATGGCATCTTGAAATCATCTAGTAGCTATTTAAGAAAATTGAGTCCTGTAGACACTGATTAGCTTAACATCCTAAAAGTAAGAATGATTGGGCAAAACATACAACCAGAGAATTCCAAAGAATTTTGGCTGTTTCTGTGACATGATTTAGGGATGTGCATAAGCAGCATTTTTCTCTTTAAGGGTGTTTCCCTGTGATATAGCTCTGGAAATACCAAAGAACAAAAGACTTAGAATGACCTGAAATAGGACTTGGAAAAACATGATTGCAAACCACATATTTGAGATGCATGTTCAGTTTATTTATCATTTGGTTCAACCCCTAAATCTTAGGAAAATGATACACCGCTGTGTATAATTCCTTTGTTTAGTTGTCTTTCATTTATAAAGAACATGGCTGCCAACTGCTATGGGCCATGTTTTTACAAAATGTAGATTCTTAAAATCTGATGGAAGTAGAAAGCTTATAAACAAGCAAATGTAAGTAAATGGTTAGACGCTAGGTGACATCTAGTGTTGGAAGAGTTGAAAGGAAAAACACTACTTTGTAGTCAGAGACATTTTTGAAAGGCATTTTGGAAAAGGTCATATTAGGGCTTTGAAGGCAATGTTTGGGGTCATTCTGCCATTTTGAGTGTCTCATGGGTGACTGTAAATCATCTTCCCAGTGTAAAACGAAAACAAAGAATTTACTCATGATTTTGCTTATAGGTTGTTCTCAGTCACCTGGAAGACACATCCAAGACTATACCAGGTTTAGGGTTTTTTTTCCCCCCCTTTGGTTTTCTTTTCTTTCTTTTTTTTTTTTTTTTTTTTTTTTTTTTTTTGTTGTTTGGGGCCCCTCCCGGGCCCCCGGCTGGGGGCCCCGGGCTGCCCGCAACCTCAAAGAGCCCCCCCTGCCTCTGCCTCTCGAGTGCTGGGATTAAAGGCGTGTGCCACCAATGTCCAGCTCTCCCCTTTGGTTTTCAAGACAGGGTTTCTCTATGTAGCCCTAGCTGTCCTGGAACTAGCTCTGTAGACCAGGCTGACCAAGAATAATAGTTTTAAAGAAAAATGATGTCAGAGTAAGGTATGAAAACTAGAAAACATGAAATTTGTTTGGATAATTACACACTTTTGATCCCAGAGGTATAGGGCATAGGAAGAGTATGCTCAATTTGAAGCATGAACTTTGTAGATGAGTGTCTAGTTAAAATGTTACATTGGTTTGTTTTATGTCAACTTGACATAAGCTAGAGTCACTAGAGAGGTTGAAACCTTAGTTGAGAAAAATGTCTCCCTATGATAGGACCATATGCAAGCTTGCTGGGCATTTTCTTAATTGGTGATTGATGAAGGGACCACACCATTGTGGGTGGGGCCACCATGGACTGGAAGTGATATAAAGTGTTCTGAACTGCTGAGCCATCCCTCCAGCCCCTTCAACATTTACTATTTAGCAGCTCCCAGGCTTAACATTGCTACTTAACAGGTGTCCGATGGTCAGGGTTTTGCTGGGGATTTTTTTGTTTGTTTGTTTTATTGGTTTGGGTTTCTTCTTTTTTTATCTGAGCTCATCATTTTTCAACTCAGATCCTAAAAGGATCTGATTAATACGTATCTTTGCTAACAGACCTTGAATGCTAGAGATTTGTTTGAAGTTACCTCATCTCTGAAACCTGTTCTGAAACAAGTTTGAATTAAAATTCAGATACTAAATAAAAGTTTTCTTTCCCCCCATACATGTATCTTGAAAATCTCTTAAAACTTGGTGGTAAAGTGTAATTTTAGTTTTGTTTTGTATTCTGATTAGTTCATAAAATCATTTTCTCTGTTTAATTGTACACTAGAACATCTGGAGGACCTGTTGATACTGGCCCTGAGTATCACCAAGAGCTGGAGAGAGAGCTTTTTAAGCTTAAACAGATGTTTGGTAAAGGAGACATGGATACGTTCCCTACCTTCAAATTTGAAGGTAAGTCTAATCACAAATTAAATTTGGGGGATTACTGTCGGCAGAGTGTATTCATGTACATTTTCTTTTGGTTGTTTATGCTAGGGTCACACCTAGGACTTTGTCTCTGTTATACAAATGCTGTCACTGAGCTATGCTTCATTTTTGAGTGCTTTTGGCTTGTTTGGGTGTTAGATGACAATTGCATGTGAAGTCCCTACAACCATGATGTGTTCCTAAGGAGGCACTTGGGACCCTGGTTTACCTGGGTACAGGAGAGTTACAGGAATTGCTACACCTTTCTCATTTGATTGGTCTAATTACACAACCCCGTTTATGCTGCATAGAGTAATGGAAAGAGAGCCCTAATCACAGAACCTGTTGAAAGTTTGGAGGTTGTTAAATTTCTCTATACATGGTGAAAAACAAATGTTTTCTTAAAAAAACAACAACAACAACAACAAAAAAAAACTTGAAGCTGGTAAACTTGAATGTAGTGAATTTTGTTATTGTAGTATGGCTAAGCCTGAAACTTTTCCTTCTTTTTAGATCCCAAATTTGAAGTCTTCGATAAACCCCAGTCCTGAAGAATGTTATAAAATTCATCGGGTAATTTGTCATGAATTAGTTGTACAACTAACTTAAAAAATTCAAATAAACATTTATTTCACAGTTATCAAATGTCCTTTCAATTCTTTGGTGATATGGAGTATGTGCCTGGTGTTGATTTGTCTCTGGTTGTTTCTGAATCATTTCATTTTGTTAGACTAAGGAGATGGAGACTTTGGAGAAATTGGGTAAAATTGCTAACTCTTCCCAGTGTGCATTGCTGTCCTCTTTAATAGTGGAGTCCATCACCTGAGGGAATTCGTGCTGTGAAGGGAAGGATGGTATAGTTACCTTTTTGGGGGGGAGGTGGGGAGAGTGTTGAGACAGGGTTTCTCTGTGTAGCCCTGACTGTCCTGGATGTTGTAGACCAGGCTGGCCTCAAACATACATAGATCTGCCTGCCTCTGCCTCCTGAGCTCTGAGGTTAAAGGAGTGTGCCCGGCTGCTTGGCTTTGTTTACTATATTTCCCTTCCTGAAGGAGTGGTTCTACATCCTTGATCATGGCTTCCTTAGGAAACTCTGTAACTTACTGTGCACAGAAATGTCTGTTGTGTCTTAACCACTGCCAGCTCAAACTGATGTCCCTCATTTTTACCTGCAGGTTATATATAGTATGTATGGATTGAGGAGGAAGGTGGTTTGGAAGAAAAGGCTCTAAAAGATGTAACTGTATGTGATGTTCTTTGACCCAGCTATGAAAGAGCCAGCAGCTATATCCTGGGGATGTTTCAAATCAGGAACTTGACATCAAAGTTTCCACAACTGTGGGTGGCGCTCAAGGAAGTTAGCCTTTTTAAAGGGGAAGCCTTGTCATCTTATATCTGACAGTGTCTCTGACATGACAGTATATGAGTTATAAGGTTTCTCGTAACTTTGATGGTCTCTTGCCAAGTCATTCTGTGTTTTCTCCGCCTGTTTCCATGTCTCATTCATTGCCATCACTAATATATTCATACAAAATTAAGCTTACATGGATTGCACTAGCAGGGGACTAGAAATCTCATGGTGGCACTGACTTCAAGCACTCAGTGCAGTCATCATTTTCTATAGCAAGTCAACACTTTGGTCTCTGAGCAGCAGAACAGCCCTGTTAGTCCTGCTACATAAGTATATCTTTATGAATAAACCTTTTGTCCTCTCTTCTTTGTATTGCCCTAAAGTCTAGAAAGGTAACTTCCTGCATTTCAGTTACTTTAGGGAATACTTGAGAAGTGAAGACAGGAGGATTGGGAGTTCAAAGCCAGCCTGAGTTTCATAATGAGACCCCATCTCAAAACAAAAGAAGTAGAGTAGCAGTAGTTACTTTAAAAATCTAACTACAGATCATGGAGACATGCTCAACTTTATATATCCTTAAAAACATTTATAGGTAGCACATTAAAAGCAGAAAATTGATCATAAAAGGAATGTTAGAAAGTATCTGCCTTTAGTTTTAAACTAAATGGGCCCTTCATTGACGAACTGTTCATTATTTTGAGAGCATTTTCTTTGGAGAATGTAAAAAGACATTATAATGGGTCTTTGTATTTAAATTGGTAAATTAAAAATTTGATACATTAAAAATTGACGTATATTGGTACCAACGATCAAACATGATAATTAGATTTCTTTACCAGTTTTTACTGCTAAAATGTTCCAAACCTTACTGAACAAGAAACGAGATGAAAAAGGTTTAAGGGCTGTGTGTATAGGGCTGAAGAGATGCGTTCGTGGAGAGATGGCAGCTCACAACCATCTGTTACTCCGGTTCCAGGGCATCTGATCCCTTCTCCGGATGTCTGATGGCACCAGCCATTGCATGTGGTGCACAGAACATGTAGACAACAACTCACATACATAAAAAAGAATTGTGTGGAAATGAATGGAGACCTAATCGCTAAAAGGGAAAATAATTTCTCTTCATCCTTGATTCCTGTAGTAATAATTCATAGACCACAAACAATTGTATCAGAATATAATGTTTTATTAATATTCTAAGTAGATGCTTACATTTAATCATTCCTTGTGCTTCACAAGTATTCAGCATTTTTAGGAACTGTTTTCATGTTAGGTACTATTAAATACCCTATGAAGACATGTACATGAGTTGGTCTTTTCTTGGAGTTTCAGATTGGTAGAGGTTCAGATATGTCCATATCTATCTGTGCTATAACAAACAAATAAATACCACAAAAGAATCAAATACCTTGGGAATTCAGAAAAGAGACTTGCAGCTAGGGAATGAGAAGGCTGTGCTAGAGAGAGTTGAATTTGGCTTGTCTGTTAGGAGTAGATAGAATTTACATAGCTTGTAATGAGGACTAGCATGCTAAGGGAAGTATTGTGAAGAAATGTATTCAAAAGGGCAGAATAACATGTAAAGACAGTTGAGCTTGCTCAGTGAGTGATAATGCAACCAAAGAAGACAGTGGGATGTGGCTGATCAGGTGGGTTCTAATAGGAGAACTTAGGTGTAAGGGGGCAGGAGGAACCTTTTCATTCCCAGCTGTGGAATGTAGACAATTAAGTAAAGGAAGGGTGAAAGGCGTTTAGCCAGAGGAAGAGGGAGGGGAGTTAGACGTGACAGTGTATAAGCACACTGACAGATAGGGTGAGAGAAGGATTCCTCAGAACAAGCAGGAGAGGGTAAGTGACTGAAAGAGGTTCCTGAGAGAAGGCCCCAGAAAGAAATAACGAAAGCCTGGCATACCAATTTTAATGGCACCATGAGGAGGTTAAAGATGGAGAAACTTAGGGAAGAGGTGGCTAAAATTTACATATAACATTGTCATTGACTAACTTTAGCATTAGGAGAAAAAGGAAATTGCTAGAAAATGGATGGAACTGGAAGGACTAGGCTCCAACACAAATGCCATACATAGTTCTGTGGATTCGAGCTTCTAGCTGCTGAGTGTGTCTCTGGGTGGGAGGAGATGTGAGTAGGGATCCATGAGATGCAGGCTTACGAGTGGGGTGTGGGGAAGATAGGACTCAAGACGGAGTTTCTGCTCCATCTAGTCTTGCAGCCACAGCTTTTTAGTCCCAAATAAACAGGTGTAACCCTATGTCTTTACTCCATCGGCCCGGGGCCTGCCGCTATGTGGGCGCCCAGAATAACACACAGAGTCCTATATTAGTTCATAATGCTGCTGGCCAAATGACTAGGATTTCTTATCTGCTAGCTCAGTCTTTAAGTATCAGCCATAAAGACTTATCGGATGCCAGCTGCAGGCATCTTCTCTTGCTGGAATCATATGGTGGCTCCAGAGAAGAGAGCAGGAGGAAGAGCAAGAGCATGATTTCCTGCTTATATTCTGAGTCTGCCTGCTATGTCACTGCCTGCCTGGGTCACCAGACTTCTTACACATTTCCCAGAGTCCTCCTCGACTCCTGGTCCCGCCTATCTTGCACTACGGTCAACAGTGCTTTATTCACCAACCAATAAGAGAAACCTATATTCACAGCAAACAGAAGGACATCCTCCATCATAGGACAGAATGGAAGGAGAATACTGGGAGCCGTGATGGCCTTGCAGCAGGAAAGGGGCAGGAGATAGGGTTGATAATCAACCAAAATGCAGTATAATTGGAAGTGTTACTTTGTCAGATACATTTTAAAATACCAGATCAGCAATCTGGAAATCAGAGTGGATGAAGATATGTCCCACCATGACAAAGATAGGTTTGAGGACCAGCGAAGGGTGGATGAGCCAGAGTTTGCTGGGATGAAGAGAAAGTAGAGGGAACTGGCGAATTAAAATGAAGAAAAAGTATGAACTGTAGGTCAGGTGGGTGTTCACAAAGACCCCCAACTCCTCCAACAACTGCACTGCAAACTTGAGAAGTCACCAACTCTGAAATGTGAGGCTCCTCTTTATTCCTCTTAGAAGAGGAATGAGACTTTGCACTCCTTATCCTCAATCTGACACACGTAAAGCATCCAGTAAGTAGTTTTCCCTTTTCATTCTCTGCCTTTAGAATTGGGCAGGTATCCAAGCTGGGCGATGGTGAGATTCCGATCTCAAGCTGTTGAAGAGCTACCTCACAGCTGCATGCAGGTGGTAAGAGGGAGGGGTTTCCTGGTTTTTACTGAACAATAGGTGAGTGACTTCCCCTGCTCTGTTGAGTGGGGCTTAAAAATTGAACTGCATGCAGCTATTTTTGTAATGTGGACTTTAATCCAGAAGTGAGCTGTAGAATGAAGGAAGTTCTTTGTAAAGTTGTATTGAAAAATAATTCAGATGTTGTCAAGTTAACCCCCACCCTACCTAAAAATAAGTTGGCTCTAGTTATAATAACAATACTAAAAAACAAAAGTTGTGACCATAGTTTCGAGAGCCCGATCACAGGTCCACTGTGGAAAAACACAATCAAAATGCTCTACAGACTATAGTTTGATTGATTTTATAGTTCAAGACTCAGAAAACAGCAAATGGACAAGTGTGGATGGCAGTGACCACTGACAGACTTAACTAGAAGATTAGTGCTAGCACTTATGGCCTTTGTGTAGAAGACTTTAGTCAATGATTTCTGCTTAGCTGTGTACAGTGTTTTAGTTAATAATGTATAATAGGTATTTGGCACAGACTTTTAGGTTTTTTACATCACATAAAGTGAATCTTTAGGCTTCATTGTCTTAAAAGGAAGCTTTTCACCTATTAGCAAAATTAAGGCACTACATAATTGTTCTCTCACACTATGGATTTGTGTCATTTAAGTTAAAAGGTTGATCTTGTGATGGTGGTATATGGCCTGGAGAGACATCCTTGAAAGTTGTATGTCTACTGCAGAAGGATAGCATTCCTCCTACCAAAGCATACTCAATCATAGGCAACATTCACATTGATTTTGTATACACCAGAGGTGTTTCTTTGTCATTTGGTACCAGGAGTGAGGAGATTGTACGTGTGGGCAAATCCCACCTGAAACTTATTGGAACAGAGGCACGCTTGCATATTCTCTACATTGTGTGACAGAGTTGAGTGGTTGCAACAGGAACCACGGGAGATAAAATATCTACTGTCTCGTTCTTTGTAGAGTTTGTTGGCTCAACTCAGTGTGAATCTGACCTTGAGAGCAGAACCATATCATTGAAGTTAGACTTTTAGAGGAGTCTGTTGAGAAGGATTGAAGGCCACAAAGTTACAGGGGAGCAGTATGGCAGTGGGCCACTCCCCAGTGACCTGATCACTACCAAGTACTCAGTGACCACCTACTCCATCTGTTCAGGGAGTCCTGAGAATCTGCTTTGCCTTTTGGGTAGAAAAAACAAATTCTTTTGAAGCCAATTTGGCCATGTTCAAAGCTGACAAAAGGAGTGAACGACCTTTCCTTGCTATTACCCAGAACTAGACATCCTGCTTACATTTTGTTTTCAATCAGGGCAAACCAGTCCCAAACAGGTCTGGTTTTATTATTGAGCCATTGGAATTTCATATTCTGACAACAGCTGGTGGCCTTTGTGGTTAAACAGTTCAGAAAACATGAGACCCATGTCTCATGTGCCCTTGCCGTGTCGAGCAAGCTGGGAATCAAAATGACCTCAGTCATTCACATTTTACATACTGGCAAATGCTTCTCTCCTCCATGCCCCTTTTTCATTATAAGCAGATTGGCCACCCTGTGTCCTCAGCAGTGAGGGACTAGCTCAGCTCAGAATTGTTTTGAGAGACAGATGTAAGGTCACCACTCATGCAGAGAAAGGTGTCTACAAAGTTGGGTAGGTTCTAGTAGTGTGTTCTGATGTCCAGGTCACTGGAAAGGAGTCCCAGGAAATGGAAATAGCAGCAAGCAGCTCCATCCATGTTGGTTTTGGTTCTGAGAAGTGAAAGTAAACATATAGTGCAAATCCTTGGGCATAAGACGCAGCCCTGGGCTTCCCTTGACGGTCTATTAGTGACAAGGAACCACAGCAATAGGCTTATTTAGAGGTAAGAAAAAGAAGTTCCTGGTGGGGATTTTGAGACCAGAGTTTCCATTCTTTAGAGTCTTTCCTGAACACAGGCCACTCTTGTATGGAGAGGAGAGCATTTGCAGTGTACACTTGCCTGTTGGGTTAGCCTCACAGTCAGTATGATATATTAAACTTTCTAAAACTTAGGACATTCCTTTGCATTTCATAAAACTCTGAATATTACCAGCTGCTTCACTTCTCTTTAGTTCAGACACAAGATGCCAGATTGTGTTTTAGGTGATAACAAGAACTCTTTGCTTAAAATAACAATTTCAGGTGAATTAAAGGTCATAAAAATTATGATGTCATTTCCTCATCCATGTAAGACAAAGCAGACTTTTATAATATTTTAATAACTCGTGTGACAACTGTGGTTTGGTGCATCTTGAAAGTGGAATTCTTTTAAATTATAAAGGATTTCGTGTGCTTGAAATCCTAGAAAAGAAAGAAAGAAATTCTAAATATAATGTTCTACTTCATATATAAATACATTCATATAAATCCTAAGCATATCAAATTAAGATTCTTCGAGTTACAGTCAGCATATATGCAACTAAACCCAATTTTATGGAGAATTAAGTATAAGCTAGAAGCCAGGTAGCTTGAACTTTTCTGAGAGTAAAGAACTTGGAGTCAGAGCAAGGATGTGGCTTGTTGGCCATGGGTAGGGCACTGTTGCTGCTCATCCAGTAGTACACAGGGCAATACAGCAATGTGGCCCACCACCGTGAGGTGGGAAGCCCTACCACAGAACAAAACTGAACTGGAGACTTGTGGAGCTGATGAGGGTAACTGAGAGGAAGACACGAGAGAGGAGAGAGAGAGAGAGAGAGAGAGAGAGAGAGAGAGAGAGAGAGAGAGAGAGAGAGAGAGAGAGACAGAGAG